GTTCTCATTAAAAAGAAGAAGAAAGGACAGAAGAAAAGTGGTCGAACTAGAGAAACAGGGAGAAAACTGAAATAGTGATTAGAAGCTGCTTTTTTACTCCCCCCAACTAAGTAGTTAGTAAAAGTACTATTATCTGCTAATAGCATTATCTGCTAATATGCATGTAATGACTTTTACAATTTTTATGAATGATGTATATAAAAATGTGGAGATTTCTACATCTTAGTTTATTCACATTGGTGTTACTACCTTGAAACATTTGTTTTAAGATTAGTTGACCATGGATGATGTATGTGTTACTTCGATTGTATCAGAGATGATTTTAGACTTAGGTTGAAACATTCAGAATTATAATGGCTGTTATTTTAGTGGATGTTAGAAGTAAGATAATTAACACTTCTGTTATTTCAAGAATATACTTGGGCACTCTTGGGATGTGGCGGATTGCTCGAGGTCAGGAGTTCGAAACCAGCCTGAGCCAGAGTGAGACCCTGTCTCTACTATCAATAGTAAGAAATTAATTGGACAACTAATACATATAGAAAAAATTAGCCGGGCATGGTGGCGCATGCCTGTAGTCCCAGCTACTTGTGGAGGGCTGAGGCAGGAGGATTGCTTGAGCCCAGAGTCTGAGGTTGCTGTGAGCTAGGCTACGCCACGGCACTCACTTTAGCCTGGGCAACAAAGTGAGACTCTGTCTCAAAAAAAAAAAAAAATATTACTTGGGATGAGACAAAGTTAAAAAATAAGTAAACTGAAAGAAAAACAAACAATAAACTTCAATACTGATTATACTTAGACTAAATATCCTAATAATTAAAGTAGGAACATTGATCCAAGGTCTAATCATAATTGCTAAGAAAAAGGTTTTGAGAGCTGTTTTGTAATATCCACTCATTTCTTTCTTTCTCTTGCACTTATGATAAGTGGGATTCTGAATTTTTATATTATTTTATCAACCTAATAACTAACCAAAAAGAATACTAAAAAAAATGTTGCTCTGATTTTTTTTTTTTATTTCTAACCAGGGATTAGACTGGTTATTGAAGTCCTTGGCAACTTGGCTGTAAAGCAGATTTCTGCTTCTCTATTTTTATTTGAAAAATATTCTCTCAGGAAAACTTGTGATTCTTAATGTTAACCAGTAGAATGAAAAATTCTTTCCAAAAAAATTGTATTTAAAGGAAACATTTCTAATAAAACATGGTAATTAAGTCACAGAGTATAAATAAAGTTCAACAAGGAGGGAGAGGCTACCATTGCATTCCCTTGGGGCTTAACCTTGTGAGAGACTGGCGCCCCTCACGGTTCTTACAGAATGGGTCCGTGTCCAGCAGAGAGCTGCCACATGAGGGTAAAGCAGGGTGGCTGATTTTAGGCGGGCAGAATCTGCAGTCAACAAACATCCTGTCACTTCAATGGGTGAGTGAGTGGGGAAGGTGATTATTACTGATTGTTTTAAAAATCCTGTCTTTTGGGACTAGTACAAGGAAAACCTAGTGAGTCTTTAAAATGCAACTCTGTAGAGAGCAGAGAGAGCTCTATTTTCCTGCATTTAGGGACTGGATAGTTTATGCTTAGTATCCCTTATAGGGCTTAGAGCCTTGTAAGTTGGCTTCAAGTAAATATTTATTATCTGATCATTCTTGAATATTTTTGCATATATTTCCAGTTATATAAAGATGCAACATCTGTAGACTATATAGGTGATATGTTCATGTGTAGTCTCTGTGCATAAACTTAATTGTGACTCTCCTATGAAAGGGCTGGTTCTTAAAGCAGGGAAGATAAGATTATTAAATACATTAAAATGTTACTTCACATTTGTTACTATGTAATCAATTTCTACTTTTTCTAAGCATAACATGTTACTGTAATATTTCAAAAGCACATTTAACAGCCTGGGCAACATAACAAGACCCTGTCTCTAAAAATAAAAATTAAATAATCAGCTGGCTGTGGTGCTGTGCACCTATAGTCCCAGCAGTAGCTGAGACCAGGATGCTGAGGCCGGAGGATTGCTTTAGCCTAGGAATTTGAGGTTACAGTGAGCTATGATGGTGTCGCTGCACTCCAGCCTGGGTGGTATTTAACATAGGCAAAAGGTCATGTGTGCTTTATAAATAAAATTCAACCAGAGATCATTTGTATAATTCTTTGTTAGCTGGAAAAATACTGGTATGTTATATCTGCTTAAATATTTCTAGCCATGAGAGTATATATGGGTGGTCAACAGTGGCTAAAATTTGAGTTACTGTTCTAGAGACTGTTGGTGGTTTTGATTAATCATGAGCATTACTCTTGTCTTTCTCATGAGCACTTTTTCCCTGACTCTGCCTCATGAAAATCTTTTTTTTTTTTTTTTTTTTGAGACAGAGTCTCACTCTGTTGCCCCAGCTAAAGTGCCATTTCAGCCTAGCTCACAGCAACCTCCAATTCCTGGGCTCAAGCAATCCTCCTGCCTCAGCCTCCCAAGTAGCTGGGAGTACAGGCATGCCCCACCATGCCCAGCTAATTTTTTACATTTATTTATTTATTTATGGTTGTCCAGCTAATTTCTTTCTTTCTTTTTTTTAGTAGAGACAGGGTCTTGCTCTTGCTCAGGCTGGTCTCAAATTCTTGAGCTCAAACGACCTGCCTGCCTCGGCCTCCCAGAGTACTAGGATTATAGGCATGAGCCACCGCGCTGGGCCAAAAATCTTTCTTCTGCTAATGATCCTGGGCTTAAAATGTAAGGCCAAAGATTTCTTACTTAGATTGAGAAGACAGGGATGCTTTATGTCCCCTATTTCGTCCCTCTGAACCCATGGCTGGAATCATCCCAAAAGCAGCAATAGAGTTCTCTAGATGGGGTTGGTTGGGATTCCAAAGAAAGAAGCACTAAATGCCAGGGTGATCAGTCCAAAACATTTATTAGGAGAGCTTAGAGTGCTGCAGCAATCCTAAAGCAAGACAGCAAGAGAAAAGGAGTGTTCTAAATAAGTAGTCTGCAGTGAGGGGGCCAGGGTATGGTTTATATGAGAGTTAAGCAATTTTTTTTTTCAGAGACAGGGTCTCTGTTACCCAGGCTGGAGTGCAGTGGGGTGATCTTAACTCATTGCATCTTGGGCAGGATCCTCCTGCCTCAGCCTCCACAATCACTGATTAAGTTGTGAGCCATCGGTGCCTGGCAAGTTTAAGGAATTTGGCTCAGGGCTGGGGCCAGTTTCTTTCAGCGTTTTGGGCAACAACCTAATGTTATCAGTGCCTGGGAATGTTTAAGGCCCCAGCTTGGGTCCATGCCTGTTGGAAAAACCTGCAGTGGGCTGGGTCACAAAATAAGGCACTCTGATTTTCAGTGAGGATACAAAGTGGAGGGAACTGGAGGACCCTACAATTCACCCCCGTTACCAGCTCACCTCTTCCATGACATTCCCTGAACCTACAGGAAAGGGTGGGATCACATGCAATGTCTTTTTCCCCAAGTTTATGAAACACTGCAAACCAAACCCACACCAGCAGTAAATGTAAGTGTACATGTCAAAACTGCAAGGGGGTTGGGATCCAGGTCTAGTTCTGGTAGGACAAAGATCCAATTATTGATACGAGGATTGCCAAGGAAGAAAGGAATTTTTAATATGGCAGATGTCTTGCCAGGATGATGGGAAAAGCTGCCTCAAGTTTGTCTCCTGGACTAATGGAGATCATGGGCTTGGAGCAAGTGGACAGGGGGATGGTGAGTCCTGGCATCAGGAAGATTCTCCTTCAGAATCTCAGCTCCTTTGTCTTGTAGGAAATCCATCATTTCAGGCTGGGTGTGGTGGCTCAGCCTCTAATTCCAGCACCCTGGCAGGTTGAGGCAGGAGGATAGCTTGAGGCTAGGAATCCATTTCTGGGAAGCAACTCAAAAGGGTCAAGTAGTTAAGGGAGAGGATTATTAAAAAACACAGGGCATCACGGAGTCGGTTACAATGTGACAAAACCTAAAATCACAATTTCTAAAAGGCTTACTAGCAGAGCTTTTCACCAAGGAAAATCAGAACCAGCCTAAGGGAGAGAAGCATAGGGAGAGGTCTGGGAGGGTCCCAAACTTGAAACTTAAGTCGTTCTCCTTACAGTTAGGAAACATCACCTCAGCATGTTAGCACCTCCATGTGTAACTACATATAGTATTGCCAACCTGGGAGGCCCACCCCAAACTTTAGTATCCAGGGTTTTTTTATGGGGGTTTCATTATGTAGCCCACGCGGTTGAATCTTTAGCCCCCCTCCTCATCCCAGAGGTAGGACTGATACCACCTTTATCAAAGCACCAATCCTCAAATCACATGGCAAGTCAGGCATGGCCAGCCCTCCTCCTGAGTCATTTTAGCATGAACTGTCAGGGTCCCCCACGAATAACAAAGCCATCCCTATCCCTAGGGAAATTAATTCAAGGGTTTAGAGCTCCCAAGAACCAGGGAAAAAGGCCAACTAAAATTGTTTAATAACACAAGCCTGCACTTGACTTCCGATACCCCTCATCAAGTTACGCTTGCCTGTTCAATGTCTGCTTTTTGCCCACGGTTTTCCTTTTGGAATATTTTAAACTACAGATGTAATGTTTTCAGGTGTCTTTAAAACAATTCACGTTTTCTATTTTTTTAATTCAATTTCGTGTATAGGTTTTATCTTTTGCAAGGACAATTTTTTCCACTCATAAGTAAAAACTATATCATAAGTCTTTTGAAATCTAACCGCTGTGTACAATGGATCGCGACTGAACTTGAAAAGCAAGTGCAGTTCAATTCATACAAGTCACGGGCTGCCTGTGTTACACAAGACTAAGCGTTCATCACCAGCGACCCTCCATCTTGGCCTTTCACAGGCAAGGCTGTCCTTTTGAGTACGTGCACGACGGCAACGCGCCCGCCTCGTCACATCCTGCTCGGGGGCTTTGCAGGCAGTGCCTGATCCCTCCCCAAATCCAGATACCAGCGCGTTTACCCGCCCGCAGCCTGTCGGCCATGGCGACCAGGCCCGCGGCGCAGGCGCAGAAGTGGCGCGGGCGCCTCTGCTCAGGCACTGCCGCGGTCGACCTCGGGGGCCTCGGAGGGCTGCGACCGGAAGTGGCGTGCGGTCGGCCTTTCCGAGTCCCAGGCTGGCGGGCGTCGGGGACTGAGCGGCTCTGTCCGCTCTGAGGAGGGTTCGCGACCAATCGCTTCTTCGCTGTCCCCGCGGCCGCCGTCTACACTCCGTGTTCTAGGGAGAAAGAGAAGATGGTGGGCCGGAACAGCGCCATCGCCGCCGGTGTCTGCGGGGCCCTTTTCATCGGGTATTGCATTTACTTCGACCGCAAGAGACGGAGTGACCCCAACTTCAAGAACAGGCTTCGAGAACGTGAGTGGGTCTCCTCGCCCCAGGGCCTGCCGCCCGCTGCCCCCGCCGCCGCCCTCCACGGAGTGGGTGGGGGGTCCTTGCCGCCCACCCCGCTTGCGGGCGGCACGCGGGCGGCCGCGTGGTGCGGCCGGAAGAAGAGATGGCGCTCGCTGCGCGGCTCCCGGGCCCCCGGGGCTCTGGTGCCCCACAGGATCCCCTCCATTTTGGTGGAAGGATTTTTCCCATTTTCTTTCCCCAAAACACTTTTGCCGTGTAAATGCACTCTACATGTTTGTTATAATTTAGGATGTGTGTATCGGGGCGGTTGTCTTTTTTTTTTTTTCATTCACCTTTTTAAACCTTTATTTTTAACTTCAAAAGTCGTGCATTTTGTATTTGGCGAATTTAGCCTGAGAGTAAATCTGCATTCCCAATGCGGTATCTGTTGCATTCTTAAACCCTCTTGGTTGCTTCGCTCTAAACGCTTCCAAGATACGAGTGAATGCTATAGAAATTGCAGGGGAGTCCAAAGGGCTGCGCTTCTTCTGTGGCTCAGTCTTATTTCATACCTGCGACATCTTTTGCAAGAGGTTTACCAGAGGGAAGTCATGTCACCAAAACCATTGTGATCCGCTTTGAGTCTGTATTTGCAGCAGAAGAGGAAATTTGTTGCAATGAGAAATATTTTTGTAACTTATCTGTAAGGTTGCTCAGCCAAAACAGGTCCTGAAAGTTAAAATTGATAAGTTATTAAAGTCCGGGAAGTACAAAGAAGTGATTGTTTACTGAAATAGTGATTACCATTTAATTAAGCTATATTAAGTCATTTCAAGTGTTCATTAGCCACATATGGATAGTGACTACTGTAGTGGATAGCGCTGACCTTAGCGTTTGCAATATGACGGCTAGTTATAGCTCTCTTATGTTCTAGAAGGGAAGGGATATAGACATAATTTGCTTTATTTTTGGTCAGGGAGACGAATAGAAAGAATGCTGTTTTGGATTAAGACACTGGGTTTCCAGGCCCAGGTTGGTCACTGATTAAGGTTAGCAGAATAACCTTGGGCTTTCTGAATCCTAAATTCCTTAGCTTTAAAATAAGGTGATGCCACCTGCTTATTGTTGGGTTTGTAAAGATTAAGTAAGATGTTTAAAGTGCTCACCACGATTCCTGACATAAGGAATGCCCTTCTATAAATGTTGGCAGTAAGTGTAACTATTGGAATTTAGGCCATTTTCCTGTAGTTTCAAATATGGGTGGCAACTTGGGGTGTTGGTGCAGATGCAAAGCTCTGTAAAGAATGGATTAACCACATTTTCCATTGGAAACTTTGAAATACTGTTGAACATGTTGAGAAAACTAATTTTTTTGGTTGACAGAATCGTCCTAAGAGCTATCATTTTAGGCAAACTGAGGAATGTTATTTTGAATTTTTTTTTTTACATCATTTTCAATCCAAACATTTTTTCCTGGGTTTAGTAAGTGTAGAGTTTAGTTCTGTTCCTGACACATGGTGATTGATAAACAATAGAGATTTTCTTATGAATAGGATTAGTTTGATATTTTCCTTAGCTTGTGTGACTTTTATTCAGAGTCATTTTGCAGTCTCTTTAAAGGTAATTGCATAATGGGCAGATTTTAGCAATTTGAGGGTATTTTGCATTTGTGGAATGAAATTGATTTCAGTTCAGTTAATTTGGAGTTTTTTTAGTCTCATTTCCTGTAGAATATTTACATCTGCAATAAAAGGGCAATTTCTCAATTCAGTTATTTAGCTTGTTTGTTGATTTTTTTTTTTTTTAAGGAAAGGAGACTTAACAGTGTTGAAGGTTTGAGGTTAAATCTGGGATGCTAATATATTCAGACTTTTTTTGTCTCCTGTTAGCAAGACTAGAGATTATCAGGGCTCTTAAAGTATAATTCTTACCCACCTAAATAATCATTAATAAATGAAATTTAACCTCCAAGTATAGTGTCAACCACAGGAGTGCTTTACTTATAATAGTACCAGTTAAAATGGTACATCACTTAAAAATACATTAAGTAAGCATCCTATTTTAATGAATGCTTTAAAAATGATTTTGATTTTGGACTTTTGTAAGCTCATGTTTTATATGTAATTTTTCAAGTAGACATGCCCAGTAATGTTTGGAACTGATAATCTATTGATAGCAAATATTGAATCAGGGCCTGATTTGGCTGATTGAATGTATAATTTTTTCTTGGCTTTTTATTTTATTTATTTATTTTAGAGATGGCATCTTGCCCTTTCTCCCTGGCTAGAGTGCAGTGGCTCTCATCATAGCTCACCACAACCTCAAACTCCTGGGCTCAAGTGATTCTCCTGCCTCGGCCTCCCGAGTAGCTGGGACTACAGGCGTGCACCACCGCATCCTGCTTATTTTTGTTTTTTGTAGAGACAAGTCTTCTTATGTTACTCAAGCTTTCCTCCTTCCTTGGGTTCCCAAAATGCTAGGATTATAGGCATGAAGTGCCTATTTTTTTGAAATGTCTCAACTCTGTTGTCCAGGTTAGAGTGCAGTGGCATGATCATAATTAACTGCAGCCTCTAACTTCTAGCCTCCCTTCTCGGCCTCCCAGAGTGCTGCCATCACACTGGGCCTTGATTTTTTTTAGTCAATTACTATCTGTCCCTATACCACAGAGATACTATATTATACTATGTCTGAAAGCAAATTTAATATACCAAGTTAATTGTCCTATGAAACTAAAGCCAGAATTTTAATGTTATTGTTGAAAATGTAAAGGAACTAGATCATCTTAAAATTTGGTAACTGTATCAGTCAGTTGTATTCAGTGACAATCATACTTCTCCCTGCCCTCTTGAATAAAATGTTTTAAGTTGGATAGTAATGGACACTAAAGTTTCACTCTATTGGGTTAGTCATTTTTGTCATTTTCCCTAAATTCTGGTTTACAAATTGTATTTCTTAGTGTTGATTTACAAATTTGGCTTGTTCATTTCTTAGGTGCCTTTTATTTTGACCTCTTACTAGTTGTGACCTTGGTAAATCTTCTCATCTGTAAAATGGTGATAACAGTATGTGTTATTGTGAAGATTAAATAAGCATGTGTTATTGTGAAGATTAAATAAGCCAATTAAAAAACATTGAGAATAGTGTCTGTTGTGTAGCATCTGAAACTTGAGTGCTTACCCCTAATATCCAGGTGTTCTTTGTCTTCATGTCCAGTTCCTCTGTGAAGTCTTCATTTCTCTCTTCTAGACTTACTGCTCTCCTTGTACAGGTTCCAGTCTGTACCATGATATTTAGCAGTTAGATAATGTCATCTTGTATCATTCATTGTTTTTTGCCTAAAGAAGTGAAAACCCTTTAGCAAATTGAGGATAGAATTATATTCTGTGTTCTGTTTCTACGCAGTTGTGCAGTGATGGACACTTAGGCAAGACAGTTTGTTAGAAAAATTGACAGTCTTCAAATTAATATGTAAGATCAGCTTTAGCCTATATTTTTCTGTTGAAACTGCTGGAATTGTATTTAAGCCGTAGAGTGTTAGCACTTTGTGTATTATGAAGGACTAGAGTTGACATCAGGTACTAATGTGGTTAAATCTGATTTGTAAGAGTAGAGTAAGAAAAGAGGGTATGCTGGTCATAGTAAGTTAACTATCTATCTAGAGTTAGGCAAACAGGTCACTTTAGTCATGCATTGAGACTTGGATTTATAGGTTTTTCAGAAAACATTGTCTGCTTTTATGGCTTTTGTTTCTCATAGTAGGTCCTGTATGTTTAGGTAGGCTTTATCTTTGGAAAGTTAAGAGATTTACTTGCCTAAGGTCACCTGCCTAATAATAGTAAAGCCTTACCTTTTCTCTAGGTTACTTATAATACCTAATACAATATAAATGCTGTGTAAATAGTTGTATTGTTTTTGTTTGTATTTTTTATTGTTTTTTTTTTTCCCCCTGAATATTTTCAGTTGATGTTAGTTGAATCCCAGGGTCGGGAAAGCTGACTGTATTTAGTATAGCACAGCTCCTTAACTGAAGGAACTGTCTCAATTCCCAGTGCTTATGTGGCACATAGTATGAACCAGGCACTGTGAAAATACTTTATATATATTAACTCATTTAATCCTCAGAATAGCTCTGTGAAGCAGGTATTATTCTTAGAACAATTTTATGAAGAAACTGAGGGCCAGGTTATCATAACTTGCCCAGGACATACTGCCAAAAAGTGGGAGAGCCAGGATGAAAACAAGGCAGTTGAGCACAAAGCTTTGTGCTTACTGTGTGCCACCAACACCCTTTCACATGGGGTGTACCATTAAAGAGCAGAGAGTTGACTGATGATTAGGGTTGTAAACAGCATCTCTCCTGCGATTTTTGGTGTTGCTTAGTTTCATATTAAAATCAAGACAACTTACAGAGACTTCTAGGCAGAGGGGGTTTTTTTAATCCTTAACTAATCAACGATAGTTGAATTCAGACTTTAGCAGTGCATTCTGAGCACTGCCTACCACTTTTGCTAAATGTATAAATACTGTATTTGTTTTATTTTTAGAAAACTTTATCACATTTTTAATTTTTTTCATTTATGAATGGCAGTTAGTTTTCAGTATTCAGTAAAGATAGAGTCTGGTGTGTTTCATTAATGAAACTCTCTAATGCCAGTGACCTGATCCTCACTCCTATTACATGTCCTGTATAGGTTGGAAAGGGAGTTGTTCTGCTTATTGTAACTACTCAGAGGTCCAGAGTCAGGAATATTTTGCAAATGGAATTAATGACTTGCCACGGCAAGTAGACGTCTTTTGATTCCCATTTTGATAATGGCAAAATGAAAATATTACATTACATTTCTTGTAGGAAGAAAGAAACAGAAGCTTGCCAAGGAGAGAGCTGGACTTTCCAAGGTAATAATCTTTTGTTTAGATTATGTGGTATACTTTATAGAAATGTTTAAAAATCTACTTCAAATACATATTTGGAGAAAGCTAGTTAATAATGGACACTGATTTTCTATCTTAAAATATAGTTAGATGTTTTTAGGAATAGGTGAATAACTTAGTTTAACTGCAGATTGTGCAGTCCTGCATTATTTTTCCTTCCTTGGCCATAAAAGCAAATAGCTTTTTGTACAAGCTATATTTAAGGGACAGAAAGATGATCGTTTCCAAAAGACATTTATACCAAAAGGTGAAAACATTCTGAGTTGCTTCAAAAGGATAAAATAAAACATTTATGTAATTTTCCTTGCTCCAACTTCCTTTAAAAGAACTGCATGCTATTCGTTTGAAAAGTTATTCAAAATTATTTATACTCACTGATCCAGAATCCCACTATCCTGAGAAATTTTTACCTTGTAGTATGCAAATGTAGATATAAATCTTATTATTTATTTTTTCTTTTCATAGATCCTGGGTTCATGATTATTTTTAATGACCACATAGGTTTATCTACTTGGTAAAAAATGTTCTGTGGCATGAGTAAGTAAATTAAGTAAGTAAATGTTAATCATTGTGCTTATAGCTTTTCCTTTTTATTGAAGTTAGTTTTGTTCGGATCCCTAGGACTCCAATTACTGGATCGTTAGTGGTTCTTTTTAAAGCAAGCTGAGGCAAGGAAAAATGAATCAATAAATATTACATTTTGTTATTGTGAAAAAGTTGAGTGATCAGGAGAGCTAATTGACTGAACATGTAATGGTAAAGTGAAACTGGGAGGGAACCATTTTGTTCTGATATGTTCAAACAACCTTTCTGAAATATGTAATATGTTAATTATATTTTGGGTAGCCTTTTCTTTCTATGGGTTATAGGAAAATAGATATGTATCTGTGTATTTTTAGATCATGAATTTAATTAAATTTTTCCTATATGTTGGGATAGTCAATGAAAGATGCTTCCACTTTCAGAAATTTTTTTCACCTATGTTAAATCAGCATATACAATATAATTCAAGAACCAAAACTTTAAAGAAGTTTAGATATTAAATACTTCTTTTCTAAATGTTAAAAAATGGGACTTTTTAACATTTTTAGGTAGGTTTACATTTTTAAATAGACAAGCCATATAGCTGGTGGCAGAACTATTCAACTACTGATTTGATCAATAAGTACCTTTTCTTTCTTTCATTTGAATATACATCATAAACTCTGATTCTTACAAGTATTAAGTGTAAATTTCTTTTTATTAGTTGTTTAGAGTGACCTGTTTAATTTTTTTGTTTTTATTGATTTTCTGAGTATTGTTTATATCTTCTGTCATAATTTTGGTATCAGTTACTAAATATTGTATTCCTAAACAGTTACCAGATCTCAAAGATGCTGAGGCTGTTCAGAAATTCTTCCTTGAAGAAATACAGCTTGGTGAAGAGTTACTAGCTCAAGGTAATAGTCATTAAAAGACTAAGGAACTAGATAGCATTCTTCAAAATTATATATAAATTTATGGTGATAAGAGGTTTTCCTATGTAGTTGACTATTTTTAGGAAAAATATTCTAAATATTTCAAGAAAGAGTTTTAGGCACTTAATAATTTGAGATTAAGTGAGTTTTAGGTTTACTTGCTTTTATCTTATGACATAGAAGATATTATAAGAAATTTTTACAAATGAGGTTACCCTTACTCTTAAGTTTTTAGAGCATAATATAGTCATGGTGTAGTATGTAAATAAGTAACAGAAGGAATGTGAGCTAGAAATATACTCCTCAACTCTCTCATCTAATCTTCAGATCTTTTCCAGTATTTATAGGAAGGAATGGCTAATATAAGTCCCAGAGAATGTTAATTTACTTAATCAAGGTCACACGGTGAGTTTATGACACTTCGTTTCAGAACCAACGTGTTAAATGATCCAGAATTTAGACTTTTCATTACTTTGTACCTTGTCTATTTCATCAGAAGTATTAAGTTTTTTTTTAAGATACCTATTAAGAAATTAAAATTATCTAATTGACAAGCCTGAGAACTAGAGTTCACTCAGTAATTTAGAGTCTTAAATGTTTATGTAAATCTCTTTGGTGTTAAATTAGGTTTTATCTCAAAAGTAGCTTTGAAATAGTTGTCATTAATAAAGATGGTATCAAGTGTCAAGGTTTTTTTTTATTCTTATTGCTGTATCAACAGATTTAGACATGATTGAATTACATGTTGTGGGACATTTGTATGTATATGTTTCTGTTGTTTCTTTTATGGGAAGAGATTAACTGTTTAAAATGGTGATGACCAGCCTTTTTAAATGAAATTAATGACTTGGCCACAGCAAGTAGACATCTTTTGATTCCCATTTTGATAATGGCAAAATGAAAATATTACATTACATTTCTTTTATTTTTTTTGAGACAGAGTCTCGCTTTGTTGCCCAGGCTAGAGTGAGTGCCGTGGCATCAGCCTAGCTCACAGCAACCTCAAACTCCTGGGCTCAAGCAATCCTTCTGCCTGAGCTTCCCAAGTAGCTGGGACTACATGAATGCGCCACCATGCCCAGCTAATTTTTTCTATATATATTAGTTGACCAATTAATTTTTTTTCTATTTATAGTAGAGACGGGGTCTCACTCTTGCTCAGGCTGGTTTTGAACTCCTGACCTTGAGCAATCCGCCTGCCTCGGCCTCCCAGAGAGCTAGGATTATAGGCGTGGGCCACGGTGCCCGGCCTACATTACATTTCTTATAGGAAGAAACAGAAGCTTGCCAAGGAGAGAGCTTGATATTTGATACCATGACAGCCTTATATCATTTTTTTTAATATCCAATATTAAAAGGATCTCCTTCATGGAAAAGTCCTCTAACAGAAGAGTACTTAATTTGGAATCATATTTAATAGTGCAAAGTTTTGCTCAGAATTGGGGCAATTCTGTGGATTTTGATTTAAAATGGAATTAACTGAGGACAAGGACCACATGACATGGCAAATACTTAATACTTATTGAACTAAATGAACCTTCAAAAAATGTAAGACTTAAGTAATTTTTTTTCTTTCAAAAGTAATAAGCAGCTATTTTTAAAAAATTTTATATTCAAAAACATTTTTATGTTTTTTTCTTATCAAAAGAGGCCAATATTCAGAAATAAGCAGCTACTGAAGGAAATATGTAGGTAATTGATAACTAAATCCTCCCACTCAGAGAATCATTGTTTTGCTGGACATGTGTAATCCCAGCAACTCTGGAGGCTGAGGCAGGAGGAGTTAGCCGGGCGTGGTGGCCTAGGCCTATAGTCCCAGCTACTGGGGAAGCTGAGCGAGGAAGATTGCTTGAGCCCAGGAGTTTGAGGTTACAGTGAGCTATGATCATGCCACTGCACTTCAGCTTGGCAACAGACTGGGACCCTATCTCAAAAAATAATGATAGTAATAAATTAGCCATGTGTGGTGCTGTACATCTGTAGCCCTGGCTACTCAGGAGGCTGAGGCAGGAGGATTGCTTGAGTCCAGGAGTTGAATCGGTGAGCTGTGATTATACCACTCTAGCCTGTGTGACAGAGTAAGACCCTGTCTCTTAAAAAAAAAGATAATCATTTTGTTACATGTTTTTTCCTGTCTTATATGACCATTTTTCCTGCTGGTATCACTTTACAATTTTTTTCTTATATTTGTGTTGTAACATTCACATAGTACAAAGGGTTGATTTAAAATGAAACTGGGTCTTTTTTTCCATTTCAGTTGATAGTCTTTGTTCTTTCTTCTCACAGAAAAGATCCATTTCATTGTTAGCAGTTTCTTATGTTATCTTTCAGAAATATTCTAAGTATATATTTCCCCCTCATGTATGTATATTAGAAACAGTTCCATATGGGTACAAATGATCTGACTCTTTTTAACAGCTACATAATATTCAGTTGTGAACGCACTATAGGTTGTTTCCAGTATTTGGCTTGCTCAGTCTTTTTGGGTAGAGTCATTTGGAGATAGAGTCGAAACAGCAGATGATTTTTTTTTTTGAGACAGAGTCTCACTTTGTTGCCTAGGCTAAAGTGAGTGCCGTGGCATCAGCCTAGCTCACAGCAACCTCAAACTCCTGGGCTCAAGCAATCCTGCTGCCTCAGCCTCCCGAGTAGCTGGGACTACAGGCATGCACCACCATGCCCGACTAATTTTTTCTAGATATATTAGTTAGCCAATTAATTTCTTTTTATTTATAGTAGAGACGGGGTCTAGCTCTTGCTCAGGCTGGTTTTGAACTCCTGACCTCGAGCAATCCGCCCACCTCGGCCTCCCAGAGTGCTGGGATTATAGGCGTGAACCACTGCGCCCGGCCAGCAGTTGAATTTTGACAAAGGCAAAGGCATTTCAGGTTACATGTAATTTTATGTAAATCTTACAGGTGAATATGAGAAGGGTGTGGACCATCTTACGAATGCAATTGCTGTGTGTGGACAGCCACAGCAGTTGCTACAGGTGTTACAGCAAACTCTTCCACCACCAGTGTTCCAGATGCTTCTGACTAAGCTCCCGACAATTAGTCAGGTAAGGCATTGAAATGTTACGAAATAAAAGTGAGCAGGATCTGAGAATTGAATGGTTAGGGACATTTATAAATGATCCTAGTGAACAGGATGAAATCATGAAACTCATCTGTTCAATGAAAGTAATACTGGAGATAGCAGTTCTTGAAATTATCTTCCCTCGTGGCAAAACATCCAAATGACTGGGCCATAAGATCTAGTGATTGTACCTTGGAGATGGATCAAGGAAGTGTTTGTCTTAGTGTTAAGTCTCAGGCCATAGTATTTCAATCCCTAAATTCAGGCCACTGTCAGCTACTTTGTACAACTAGCTTTTGTCTACTTTCCTGAGAGACTGTGCCTTTAGTTAGGTGGCCTGACAGGAGCCAAGATGGCATAGCCTGGTCGTTAAGTCATCAAGGAATGAGGACTCTGAGCTGACCTGTCTAAAGGCTCTGTGTCTCCACTGCTGCTGAGGTAGTGGGCTTAGAGTGTGGCGCTTTATAGACTGTATCCCTACTAAGAAGTATAAAGTACCGTCAAAATACTGTAAAAGATTAAATTATGCTTAACTTAAGAGTGAATTAAAATGTATTGTATTCATTTTGAATTCTTTCCACAGAGCCCAAATGAACCTACTTTTTGGAATAACATGTCTATTATATGTGTTCATTTCCCAAGTTGTTGTGATTAAACATCCGTGAATTGACGGAAAAGAAAGTTTTTACAGAACTTTAATAACTGACTGAAATAAAGGTCCCAAAGATTTGAAAGGAAGAGTTGGAAAACCAAGGACTTGGTGTAAATCTTTTTTATTTAGAGTAATGTGGTTGTGGTCCTGCCTGTTCATACCAGAATCTTCTGTTTAATATTATGTGTTATTTGAAAGGCAATATAGCATAGTGCTTTTGGAAAATTGACCTGAGGATGATGTCTTGAAATATGTGTGAGTTCAAGGTGAAGCCTAATTCCTTTCTATAAAAGTGGCCTCCTTAGGCCGGGCGCGGTGGCTCACGCCTGTAATCCTAGCTCTCTGGGAGGCCGAGGCGGGCGGATTGCTCGAGGTCGGGAGTTCGAAACCAGCCTGAGCAAGAGCGAGACCCCGTCTCTACTATAAATAGAAAGAAACTAATTGGCCAACTAATATATATAGAAAAAATTAGCCGGGCAT